TGTTTACACTAACAGTCAGCACACCCACACAAAAACCACTCACACAAGCTTATAATTGGGTTTACATACTACATATAAATCTTTACAATCTTTTTATATATTTATTTATTTATTTTTTGTACCTTTTTTTGTGGAAAAAAATGGAGTTACAGTGGCAAGTGGAGGAAATACAGCCAACAGATGTCCAGACTACTTGTGAACTTCAATACTCTTTAATAACCATCCCAGGATGCATCTCATTAAGGTGGTTGAGAATAACTAATGCTGTAATCAAGGCGAAGTGAGGCGACACTGAAGAAGCACAAATTAAGTCAGTTCTGATTTATTTCTCCTTTTTTGGGGCACTACATAATTCCCTTGCCTCCATTTCTGTATTTCATAGTTTTCAGTATTTTTACACGAGTTTTACTAAAAAAAAAATACTAAAGAATGAGTTGACAAAACTTTTGACTGATAGAATATAAAAAAGTCATTCATTCACATATATATAATATATATATCACATCTAATTTAAATATCAGATTATATAATGATTTTATCTATAATATGAATAATAAATAGTATCTATAATAATATGTACAATTTTGCAGAAAAAAATGCTCCATTTTTTTCTGATTTGAATTTTCTGTGGACGTACTGTCTCCCTTACCTCCTTAGAGAAAACAAAATCCTGATATATAAGTACAAACACTAGTACACAAAAATAAATTCATAGCAAATATACCAAAAACCAACTGACTGAATTTATTCTCAACTCTAGAGTGCTATAGAATAAGAAAGAAAGAACAGGGCTGCTCGGAGCTTCGCTGTGAAACCTTCCACGGAAAACACTTTTTTTTCAGTGGAACTGAGTTTGCTGACACACGCCATCGCACACTCTTGCACACACTTGTGTAAGATCACACACCAGGCACGGCCATCCCATCGGCACCTCTGAACGCTGAGAAAACACCTCGAGGGAGACACCTTCTGCCACTCCTCATTTTCAGATAAGTTGGGCTGTTTAGTTAGCCGAGTTCACAGAGAGGACAGCATGCTGGGATCAAACAAACGGCAGGCCTTTTCAGCAACCACAACACAAATAGCTCCAAAGAAGAGAGGGGAAAAGAGTGACAGAGAGAGAGAGGAAAAGCAATAGAGGAGTGAAGCAGCACTACAGCAGCTACAGCGAGATCAGAGCCACCCGGAGATTTCCTTCCCTTACACACTCTCTCTCTCTCAGCCGCTGTCTGCTTTTCTCTCCTCTCCACTCCTTCATCCACAATAGATTGGCTTTGAAGGATCTGCCAGGATTCACCAATTAAAGCCGCTGCTAATTTAACTTGTCTGTCATTTCAGTGACGGAAAAAGGTGACAGAAGAAAGACAATGTTTTGTCAGTGGCTGGGAGAGAGAGATGCTAACAGAGGGAGCGATCGCTTTTCTCCCATGACAAGAAAGAGGCATTTGATGAGGCGGTTGTATGGAGAAATGGGGAGGGGGGGATGTTGTCATTTGTAGACTGTCTAGTGGCTCATTTTTTTTAATTCGGCAGTTTTGCAGGGCTAACCCATGCTGAGTTTGAAGATCACTCCTTCATTTGCAAAAGACTGCCTTTTATCTATGACTCCCAAGAGGACCTGCCAGCTGGAGAGAATATAGAGATAAGGAGGAAAAGGAAGCAAGCTCTCCACACAAAGAAATGGGTATATACACATAAATGTGTACATGAACCCAGTGGCATACACAACACAGGTAGACCAAACACAACAAACAATTCTATGAAAAGCTGTCTCAACAAACATTGTGTGACCTTTATGTCATAAACATCACGCACCCTTCCTTCCTGTAAAGTTGTGATTCCCTCTGCCACTACATCATGCTGTAATCAAGCGCAACTAGGGTTGCAAAAGGGCGGAACATTTCCAGTCAATTTCTGGAAATTTTCCAGACACTTTCCATGGGAACTTCGTCTGGGGAATTTTGGCAATATTCCAAGTTGGAAACTTACCAGGAATTTATGGGAATTTACAGGATTTTTTGGGAATTGATTGGAAATTTGGGGAAATTGATAAAACTGAATCATATACAAACATAAATATAAACATTTTGTTTGATCATAGGTTTTTGATTTTTTGGGGGGAAATCTGTGATGCTTTTTCAGGATTTATTGATGAATACAAACTTGAATAAAAGTGTTAATTTCTTTTAAAAAAAGAGAAAAAAATACTGACCCCAACTTTTGAATGGTAGTGAATTGTTAAAAAAGGATTTTTATTTTAAATAAATGCTGTTCTTTTTTTTAAACTATTTATTCATACAAAGAATCCTGAAAAAAGAATCACAGGTAATAAAAATAAATAAATTAAGCAGCACAACTGTTTCCAAAAATTTATAATAAATCAGCATATTAGAATGATTTCTGAAGAATCATGTGAAACTAAAGACTGGAGTAATGATGTTCAAAATTCAGCTTTGCATCACAGAAATACATTATATTTTATTTATTAAAAAAAGAAATGCATTATATTTTAAAGTATATTAAAACAGAAAACCATTGTTTTAAATTGTAATATTGGTAATACTGCGCAATATTACTGTTTTGTTCAGTATTTTTGATCAAATAAATGAAGGCTTGATGAGCAAAAGAGATGCAATGTTTAAAAACATTAAAAATAGTAATGTGTCCAAACTTTTGACCAGTACTGTACTTCTGTATGATAATAGAAAACTGGCTAGCAGAAAGAGCATCACAGCTTGAGCTAGCTAGCACATACCTCATAAATTGTCAAATTGTCAGTGCTAACTTGCTTAGATTTTTCATCTTGATTTACTGGCTAGCTAACTACTGTATAAACACATTTTGGTATTTACTAGTTAAACTTGAATCCCATAGGTCAAATATATTTAGATTATCAAAACTTAGATGTAGTCTTTGGGCTCAAATGCAGCAAGTGTGGCTTCAGAGAAAATGGAGGGGAATCCCCCTCTTAGGTGACTAAGGGGGATTGTGTGTGGGGGAGGGTCATTTTTAGACTTTTGTTTTATTATTATCATCTCACCTAAATGTTTATGTTGGTGTATTTGTTTTTACAATGGTATAGCCTAATGTAGTTGCTCAGTATATTACACACAGCACAAGGAAGTTTTACACACATATTTTGTAATATTCAAATAATTTACATGAATACTAACCAAGATGGACATTTTGATATTTTGTGTGCACGATTTAAGAAATGATCTGTTCATGTTATGGAGGAAAGCACAGTGCATGTAGGGGGTGTGGTCTCAATAGCCCTACAGTAAGCAGTGTGCTGTGTGCATGTTATTGAGCAATGTGTAGGGTGGAAATTCAACTGAAATTGCATTAAATCTGGTTGTTTTAACCAAAATTATGCTGCAAGATTTTTTCTCAACTACATATAAGTTCCCAGTTCTTGCAATTTTGCAAATTTCCAGTTTATTTCCATTAATTCCCATATATTCCCGTTAATTCCCATGGAAAGTTTCCAGTCTTGAAAATTCATGGAATTTTGCAACCTTAAGCGCAACACACTAAAATGTCAAGCAGCACTGATACAATTTGCTATAATCTTTACACCCCGGTAGATATCTGTGCAGCTATCAGTAGACAGGATTTTTTTTATTGAATTTCTCAAGTCAAAATCATTATTTGAAAGTATCTATAATATTTTCATTAAAGTCACACCATTATCATCACTCACCCAGTGATCCTTTAGGGCACGGCCTGTCTACAGTCTCCCCCCTCTGGGTGGCAGGCCACTGCACCCCTCGGGCTACTCTGGCTTCACACACTTGGAGCTCGGGACCCTGTGGTGGGACACGCAGGGGTCTGCGAGTCACTGGCACAGTGGCGGTGATAGGTCGCAAGTCTGGTGCCTTGTTGATGGCCCCTATTGGGTGAGCAGTTGGGGGCAGAGGTCGCATGGTTGAGGGGATGGAGCTAGAAGTGACAGGTCCGGCTGCGGTGGTGGTGCTGCTGCTCATCTGAGTGGGGCCGAATGGACCTGAGAGCAAGAGAGAAGGACAGACAGGAATGCAAAGAAAATTGAAACCGAGGCAACAAGTGCATAAGAGGTAGAGAAGCAGAATCAGAACACCTACAGAGTCAGCGAGAATGTCGGCGGATGTTTGACGAAGATGAAAAAAAGAAGACAAAACAGAAGAAAGGAAAACCTAAACGTTTGATGTATCTTGCAAAAGGAATATGGGAAAGTTGGTAAGAAGATAACTAAAGCAGCAGGAGCATTTGCTAGTCTTTAATGCATGATTATACGTTCCCACAGTCCCCCTGAGAACTGGATAGAGCGAAACACAGGAGGAGAAAGAGAGAGAGAGACAGACAGACAGAGAATGTTCATGGCAAGAAGATGAGAATGAATAATTGATTAGAAATCTTTTTCTGACCTGACAAAACGCTAATGACCACTGCTAATTAAACCATAAAGACAATGTATTGAAGACACAGAGGGGAACACTAACAGAACGTTGACACTTAACAGATCAAACTGTCTGTTAGCCTCCGCCTCCGCCTCCCGCTGATCTCGCTCTTTCTCTGTCACTTACCAGCAGTGGGATCCAGTGGGCCAAACTCTAGGGGGTAGCGCAGCACATTGTAGTTATTCCAGACATAAAGTTGATTGTCTCGTGGGTTGTAATCCACAGAGGACACATACTGGTAGGGGTTGGGGAATGGGATGTGAACGGGCTCTTCCCGTGCTCGGTTGGTGTTGTACGCATACAGCACCAGATCTCCACCTGCTTCGCTGTCGTCATCCTGATAAACAGAGCGGACAGCATATAGAACACCACACGCCATAAAAGCATTGGACGCCAGTCGCTTATCAAAGCTCGTCTCCCAGGTTCCCTCGAAGCGCAGAGTGTAGGGGTTAACCTAAAAGACAGCGAGAGTAAAGGGTTCGGATTTCGGTTGTGTTCATATGATACACCAAAATAACTTGATTACTCCACAGTTCTGGAAAATGGAGATCCTTAAAATGTAACCATAATTCCAATCCGATCTCAGCTGAAATACAATAGCTTTAAATTGCACTTTTCAGTGACACTGACCTGGCTGACCACAAGTCGTCCATTGTTGGCCTCGGTAGCGTAGATGACCCATAAACCGTTTTCATCCACTGCAAGGTCAATATCAGACTTGCCCCCCCAGCGGTACGGTGAGGTGTCATGATAGTTGGCATTATTGACTATTGCTTCTCCACTCTTGATACGTGTGCGCAAGTCGTATTTCACAATATTGCGTGTGCGTTCCTTGTTGTAAAAAACAGCACCATCATACACGACAAAGCCTGTTCCATCCACACGATTTGGCAACCTGTGGGAGAAGAGTGGGATACTTGAGATGACTTGCTATAAATGTAATTTCAGCTATATTTTAGAAATATTATGATCTGAAACTAAATCAGGATTCTACACTCTTATATACCTGATAGTGATACCTAGAATCAGTATGTTAATCTGCAGAATCTTTAATTTAACATTAAGAAGAAACTCAAGAACCCTTCCTGAGAACTCAAGAAGCATATACAAAAAACTGCTAAATCTAAGTTTTGATAAATTATTATCTTGTAGATTGTACACAGGGATGGTTACTGGTTCTAGACCCAAGCTGTAGTCCTCACTCACTTGTAAGTGGTCGTGGCTCGATTCTGCTTGAAGTCTTCCCATGAAGCATACTCGTACAGCATGTCTGTGCGGTACGGAGTCCAGGGCATGACGTAAAGACGGTCACCAGACTGGAGGGGATCCTTACACCATGCCCCCGACTGATGCTCCGCCTCCTGCAGCAAACTTGCTGCCTGCACCCTTAATAGAGTCCCAGGACATACAAAGACTGGAGATGTGGGATAAAGAGAGAGAAAGAAAGAGAAAAAGAGATAAAAAGAGGGAGAGATGAAATAACAAGGAGGGGACAGCAAGAATGCACAGAATGATGGTGTGATAGGATTAAAAAGAGGATAAATTTGACGGGAAGACAAATGGAGAGATGGAGGATAAAGAAAGAAGGGGAATTGGTGGGAGGCCGTGAGGGATGATAACATGAAAGAGAATGTGGCAGCAAGAAAGAGGAAGAGAGAGGGAGAGAGAAATGGGAAAGAGGACATGAGATAAATGACCATTCTTCTAATGAAAGAGTGTTAATGTTCATTAGTCAAGTATCTGCACACTGGACTAGAGGCTGGTGAGGGGAGATGACACAATCCTGGCTGCTGGTGCTTATATATTGCTGGGAATAATTTTTTATACCCTGCCCCACTTCAACTTCCCTGCTGGAAAAACTCTAGCTTCTGATGCTAGCTGATTTTACATTGTTTCTAGATTGACCGATCATTTATGGTAATTAACTGCACTGAGCTGGCATAGACTGTTTGTCAGCTGGACTTCCAACTGATGTACCTGGTTTAAGCATCTTGGTCAAGTTGGTCAGAGCTGGTAGACCACTTTGGAATTGCAGAAAGCCAGTTACAATGTTCCTCAAACCAGCAGGGAAACCAGGTTTTAATGCTAACTGATTTCATGTTGTTCAAGCTGGACCAAGTTGGTCGAAACAGGTCTAGATATTCAGGACAACATTTCCCAACCCTAGTTCTGGAGTATCCCCAACCGTATGCATTTTGTCTGTCTCCCTTATCTAACACACCCATTTTAGGTCTTGGAGTCTCTGATAACAAGCTGATGAGTTAAATTAGGTGTATTGGACTGTAGAGACATAAAAAAATGTGCAGTATTAGAGGTACACTAGGACCAGATTTGGGAAAGAGTGATTTAACAAATGCACCATCATCTTAATGGACCTGGTTTCAAATTAGAAGACTATCTCAGCCAAGCAAGTTACACATAGTAGACCAGGGGAGCAAAACTCAGTTCCTGGAGGGCCACAGGCCTGCAAAGTTTAGCTTTAACCTTAATTAAACACACCTGATCCAGCAAATCAAGTCCTTCAGGGTTATTTGAAAACTACACGTGTTGGAGCAGGGTTGGAACTAAACTCTGCAGAGTTTTGCACCCCTGTGGTAGACCATTTTATTTCAGCAACAAACCAGCTTGACCACCTTTAGCTGGCATGGAACTGAATTTCCAGCAGGGTTTTCTTACATCAACGGCCCTGTCCCAAATGGTACCCGCTGTCCTCCTTCGAGTATACACATGAACAGATGGGCTGTTGGGTAATAGTCCACTGGGAAGTACACATCAGCACATGCAGGCTCTGCAAATGTATGTATTGAGGGCACCTATCTACCACAAGGGGAGCACTTACGATGACCCTTTTGAAATTTAAAATGACCAATGGGATACCCTATTATCTCTAGGAAACTCATGAGGGCCACAATACCACGAGTCCACAATCAGTGTGCCATTTGAGACAGGGTCTCTATATAAAGTTGGTATTTGTTCCACCACAAAGCACTGCTGTAATGTAAAAATTTGTTTTTGTGTTTAATGTTGAATAAGCACGAATGTTAGGATGCCAGTCATGTACGAAAACAACTGCAGTGCTCAACTTTTATCTGCTAGGAGTACTTGATCAAGAAACACACTCATACACACACCAATCTCTATCTCTGTACTCTGAAGGAGGTCGTTCACCTGGGATTGGTGTGAATTAGTTGGCTGACGCGGTTTCTCACTCCCAGACTGAGAGGGCATGGGGACCTGAGAGAATATATCTACTGCTGGGGGTATGGGGAAAGGGAGCACTAGTGGGGTTTTCCTGCCATAGGCTATGTGTGTCTCAGACAGCCAATACTTACTGTTGCTACATACACACACATATACGCCAAAAATGAATGAAGCCAAAGCTTTTTGTAATCAGTAAATGATACACACACATCTATGAACACCATATTACAGATAATTGTTACAATTTGGTCGATAGCTATAGAAATCCCTTGATGAACCTATGAACCTATCAAGTGCAGTCTTCATCCTGAAGGAGCTGTAAAAATTCCTTCATAATAAAGTAGAAGAAATAAGCACCAACTCTTCCTATAAATGCCCTACAGAGAAAACCAGTATAACTTCACCAGCATATCTCTTGGATGCTACTCTCAGTAAAGGATGCTGGTGTACTACTAATCCCACAATGCTTTCAAATGAACTGGACCAGCATTACTATCTTGGTCAGTTGGATTCACTAGAAAGATCATGTTGTTTGAAGATTCTCACCAACTGGTAAAATGCATGGCTATGGTCTAGGGGTGGGGGAAAAAGCCCGACTGGCAGTGTTCAGCGCGCATGTTTCACTCTCCTCGTCACTGCGCGGCTTGACGCTCCGCTCAATATTCTGATCTATGAATGTGCTTTCCGCTCGTGTATCGCTCATGCTCATCGGAAAAGCAATGTCCGCTAAAATAATGCGCTGACAGGAAATTTCTATGCAGTATAGGCCTACTTGTTCTGGTTTGCAGTAGCGCTACTGTGCTGTAACATGGTGTAGGCTAGTTCAGCTGTACTGGGCAACGCTGGTAAAATAATGCTACCTTCAGTGACGCTATGCTCTGCTCATATGCTCTGATAATAATAGCTTTGTAAGACTATACATTATTTGGATAATTAGTCAAAAAAAAAA